GAGTCCTGGGCAGCAGTTGCTGGAAAGTCTCAGCTAAGCCACCTCCCAGCGCTGCTGTCCCTCCCAAGTCCTCGCCAAGTCCCGGACGAGGCAGCAGTGGCCGCCAGGGCCAGCTGCATAAACTCTCAGCGCATGCTCGGCCGCTGGCTGCCAGGGTTGGGTCCTAGTGGGTGTTTCTTGACCCTCTCACCCCAAAGGGACCCCTCACTTTCACAAGACAAGGTCTAGAAAGAGATAAAACCTACAAACTTTGGAGGAGTCCCCGCACTAATCTCCTTGAAAATGGTGATGTCTGAGGAATGGAGTCTGGGTAATAAGCATAGGGAAACAGGCTTTTATTCTATGAAAATATTTGTGTTTGAGAAGGGCGGGTAAACGGGTGGCCTAACCCAATCCTGCAATGAGAAACTAGTTTTCACAGCCTTTATGGAGCCACCTCCTGTGATTTGTCATTAACATGGTGCCCTATGATCCTTCTTACTGATGTGTTGCTATTTCTGATGTTTAAAAAAAAACAAAAAACAAAAAAAACACTTCCCCTTTTCCACGCTGCACTTAGCACTTACACAAACATCAGAGTAAACCTATCCAGTTTAACATCTAGAATAAGAAAGAATATTTTTAACTCTTTCAAAAGAAATTCAGCATTTCCAAAATTTTATCTGGATAAGACTGTTTTAACTGGTGATTTATCTTGAACTGTATATATAGTAGTGGGTTTTTGGAAATCTGCATTTTTTTTTTCAAAAATAGAAATTCACCAAGTGTCAAACAATAGATGACCATCCTACCCAACAGTTTTTCCCCTTTATAAGTCAGAAACTTCACACTGAAAAATGAAAATCACTGGATTATATTCTTCACATAAATTTTTGATTTTAATACCTCACAGTAGCATACATTTCTATAATTATTTTGTGCATATTGTGTGGCATATAAAACTTCACCAACAGATATGAATTAGCTGAAATACAAGCAACATCTTTGAGGAAGCCTGATCACTGGAGTCCTCCTTACATTTTCTTGCAGGGAAAATAAAAGAATATTATAGTTCTATGTTTAGCATGACCTGGCTAAAGTCAGTCGCTGTATGACCAGAGTGAGATAGTGAGATATACAGTCTTGTTCATATAAAACTAAAGTGAAGACCAACAGACAACATGGAGGTTCAGGGTTCAGGGTTAGGAACACATTGTAAGCAATCACTAAAGAGTATGTGAGACAGCAAGCCCAAGAGGGCACAGAGAAGTATAGCTATCCACAAACCAAGAAATATGTCCAGCCCCTCATCAGATGACTCCCACTGTGATAAAGGTACAGCTTGAGTGATGGAGACAAGCAAAACAAAGCAAAGGCAATTTTTATCCTGTTGGTTTGTGCTCACATTAGGTTGTAGGCCGGATTTAAGCAGATGACTGCAACAAACCACCAGCTGAGAGTGGTGCCACATACTCTATGGATCTGACGGCTGCCACTGAGACAGCAAAAGAGTGCTGTTAATTCCCATGTCTCAGAACAGAGACACTCTTTTCTCTCTGGGAGACTGGTAAGTGCTTTTTCTTTAACTCATAAACCTTTTAGAGTTGGGTACCCTAGAATAAAGAAATTTGACAGCGAGTGATTTAGAAGTATATTTGCCTCTCTCTTCCTCATATATAAGGAATATGGAATTGAGAAAAGTTAAAGCAGTTACTTAACATTACATTGTCAATCAAATCAGAGTCCATCCAATAATCTAAAATCAACAGACTATTTTGGTGGTTCTTAAAATTACTGTGTATTAGAATCTGGAGAGCTATGAAAAAACTTCAATGCTCTGGCAAACCTTATACTACTTAAACCATAATCTTTGCAGGTGTGGCGAGCATACAACGTTTTCAATCCCCCAATGTATTTCCAGTCTGTGGCAGTTTGAAAATCCACTGCATCTAGTTATGCAAGAAATGATAACAGAGATGAAATATTATATTTCCCAACTTGTTAGATGTCTGGTATGCCGAGCTCCTGTTCTCTGTAAATCAAAGACTAAATTCTAGAAACAATGGAGGTTAAGAGTAGGAAGATATTTACTGATAGGATAGCTCCTGAGAGGCAGGAGTGGACCCCAGTGGGTAGCCAGGGACCCCACTCCACAGGGGAGTTTTATGGAGTAAAACCCACGTGGATACAATGTGAGCCCCAGCCATGATCAACCAATGAGTATAGTCATTTAGGTAATAGTGATCCAATTGGGAAACAAGTCACATAACAAGTGTGGATGGAAATAACAGAGATTCTCCTAGGAAATGGTGGCTCCAGAGGTCTCTGATCACCCACTCGGGTGGCTGATGTCTATCTAGACTTCCTTAGGACCAGTGTTTGACCTTTGAGGAAGTATACAGGTCTGGCCATCTTGTCTTTATCTTGGGGGGCCTAGTCTCCAACACAGGTGTCTCTGCCACAGTTGTGATGTGACTCACCTTTGTCATGACCCTCTCAAGGACCTGGCCCTAACGGACTGCCTCTAATATTTCTACCTGGCTCTGCTGTGATACCTCTAGGACTTTACAGATGCCTGAACATTAGTTAGAGTCTCTTCAGGCTTAGCTCAAATCTCTCGCCTGTGAGGTGATAAACCCGAATTCCTATCCCCACTTTGCAAGTTAAGAAGAAAACACAGCTGCAGTTACTGCTCTAAAATTCCTTATAGTACTCATCAGTTTATGAATCAATATCTACATAGATAAGACCCTGTCACATTGGCAGCACTGTGATATGTGCAGTTTTGATGGCTTAAACTTGCCAGGACTTCCCTTTCACTTCTATGCCTCCACCATAATGCTGCCTGTGCACTCACAGCCTGAGCAAGCCTCTCTCCCGTGTGACAGCTCTGCGACTACTTCAGGGCAGCTGCACTTCCCTCCCTCTCCAAGTCTTCCCTTCTCCAGGATCATAAAACTTGACATCACAGCTGTCATTTTGCAGGCTGTATTTTTTTCCCTGTGAGAACTGCTTTTGTGCACAGAAAAAAAAGAGTAGAGAGTTCATAATATTGGCATCCTAGCAATTTGAATGTGGTACAAAGACTTATGAAGATTGTACGATCTGTTCATTGTTCACAAGGCAGGAAACCATCAAATTGGGCTTCACCATTTGAGTATGAGGCACTTACTGCATCTCATGCTGAGAATACTAAGAATAAGATAAGTCCCTACCACCTGGGAAAAGTCTCAGCTGTTTTTTTTTCTCTGTTTATCTAATGATAATAAGATAAATAATTATAGGATAAGCATTTAGAGCAATCTCTTTGGAGACAATGGTAAAACTCAGCTATGTGGTAAGGTAACAATGCAAGTTCCTCACTCTAGGGGTCACCTCATTTGTACCTCTCTCTCTCTCTCTCTCTCTTTCTGTCTCTTTGCATTTGTACATATGTTATTACATTCATTCTGCCTATGTTCTGAGAGGAAAGGAGTTTGGTTACATAAATGAATTTCCATTGATTAACACAAAAATCATGTAAGTACACCTAAGTTCTTTACAATTATTACAGGAAAGAGATGATTGCTGCTTCTTACAATGAAATTTAATAATTCCTCAAACCATATAAACTCAGTTCATTTCTCCAAACCCATACAGGTAGTAAGTAAAGAAATCCTGTTTTTCTTCCTCCTCCTCTTCCTCCCTCCTGCTTCTCCTTCTTCTTCTTTTTTTGTACCAGGCATCAAACTCAGGACCTCTTGAGGCAGGTGTGCCACCACTAAGCTAAAGTCCCAGCCCAAAGAAGTCCTGTTTTAAACTAAGCTCTGTTTAATTCTTTCCACTTCTAATGTGTATTATGACAATATTTCAAGTCTGGATAGGGATTCATTAACAAACTTTAACAAGAAAAATACTCTGCTGACTTTTATTGGTTCTTAGAAAAAGTAAGTTGAGTTTCTAATACACACTCAGCCGGTCGTGTCAGTGTGTACTCCTAGTGATCTGGGATGCCAAGGTAAGAGAATCACAAGTTTGAGCCCAGTCTAAGCAACTTAACAATGAGAAAATCATTTCAATACTGAGTTAAGTAGATTTCATTTTACTATGAGCTTAGAGTTGCCAGATAAAATGCAAGACTTCTAGTTAGTTTTAAATTTTAAATAACAGGAAATCATTGTTTGGTTTATCAGGTCCTCAATGTTGCATAGGATAAAAATCACATTACACATTCATACACTAAAACATTATTCAACTACTCATTGTCTACCTGAAATTCAAATTTTACTGCACAGCATCTACTTTATGTAATAAAGCTTACCATCCTGTGCAAACTAGAAAACTCTAGTCAGAGCACCACAACACTAAGCATACTGCTTCATATATGCCCAGAAAGAGCAATTCATCCACTCAGTAATGACACAGAAGGTTGGT